ATCTGATGTTCAAGGGCAGGAGGTATCCAGCCTGGGAGAAAGATGGAGGCCAGAAGACTTAGCCAGTTTAGTCTTTCCACATTCTTCTGCCTGCCTTTATTCTGCCCACACTGGCAGCTGATTAGATGGTGCCCACCCAGATTGAGGGTGGGTCTGCCTTTCTCAGTCCACTGACTCGAATGTTGATCTTTGGCAACACCGTCACAGACACACCCAGAAACAATACTTTTCATTCTTCAATCCAATTAAGTTAACACTCAATATTAACCATCATATAAGTACTTTATGTTTTTGATGCTATTGTAAGTGCTATTTAATTTCAATTATCATTTGTTTTTGTAAGTATGTAAAAATGAAATTAATTATATAATTAATCTTAAATTCTGAGTATTGCTAAACTCTTCTACTAGCTAGCAAGTAATTTTGTGGATTCCTTACGAATTTCTAAGTTTACAAATATTCCCATAAAATGATTTATCTTCAGTATTAGTGTCTTTTATTTCTTTTTCTTGCCTTACTTAAGTGGCTGGGGCTTTTAGTACAATATTGAATATACAGTGATTATTTTCCCAATCTTAAGTGAAATGATATTAGTGTTTCATCCATACATATAATGATAGATGTAGATTTGTCTTACATGCCTTTTATTGGGCTGAGAAAGTTCCCATTTACTCTTAAGTTTGGTGCTTTTAATTGTGAATGGCTATGGAATTTTGTCAAAAGCTTTTTATGTATCTATTGTAATAATCATTAGGTTTTTCTCTTATTCTGTTGATATGGTGAATTGCAATGATTGCTTTTCGAATGGTAAATCATCCTTGCATCACTGAGATAAACCCTAACATGATGTATTATCTATTTTAAAAAGTGCTAAACTTGATTGGCTAAAATTTTGTTAAACAGGTTTTTTGTTTTGTTTTGTTTATTTGTTTGAGATGGAATTTTGCTCTTCCCCCAACCTGGAGTGCAAGGATCTTCACTCACTGTAACCTCTGTCTCCTGGGTTCAAGTGATTCTCATACCTCGGCCTCCAGAGTAGCTGGAATTACAGGCATGCACCACCATGCACTGCTAATTTTTGTATTTTTAGTAGAGATGGGGTTTTGCCATGTTGGCCAGGCTTGTCTTGAACTCCTGACCTCAGGTAATCTGCCTGCCTCGTCCTCCCAAAGTACTTGGATTACAGGTGTGAGCCACTGTGCCAGGCTTGTTCAACATTTTAATGTTGATGTTTATGAAAGTTTCTAGTGTGTCATTTTCTTAAAGACTTTGATTTTGAAATAAATTTAGAAAACTATCTGGTGTTTTGGGAGTTTACTTTGTCAGAAGGTTTTTAATTACAAATTCAATGTCTTTAATAGATACACACCTATTCAGATTTTCTATTTCTTTTTTAGTTGATTTTGGCAGTTAAAAAAAAAAACAGTTTACCTATTTTTTTGAGGTGGTTAAAATTATCGCCATAAAGGTGCTTATAATATTCTCTTATTATTCTTTAGTAACTGTAATGAAATCACATTTTCCTGTTCTTATGTTAGTAATTTGGGTCTCCTCTTCTTTATTCTTTGATTATGCTAGCTAAACATTTACTATTTCTTTAAAGTATTTATCAAGATTTTAAAAATCCTATTCTTGCTTTAGTTACTACATATACTGTTTTTCTATTTTATTGATTTTTGCTCTCATCTATATTATTTCCCGTTTTCTGCTTACATTGAATTTATTTTCTAATTTATATTTTTAAAATAGATAATTGATTTTGCAACTTGTTTCATTTTTATACAGATTTTTTAAGCTATATTTTTTCCTCCTAATGGCAGTGTTACCTGCATCCTACATATTTTGATATATCTTAAACTTTTTTTCAATGTCTATTATGGCTTATTTCTGACTAGGACATAGAAGTGGTGTTTTGTTTTGCTTTTTACAAATACTTAGGGTTTTTCAAATATTTTTCTGATATTTTTCATTTAATTTTATTGTAGTCAGAGAATATACTCTGTTTAATTTCAGCCCTCTTAAATATATTGAAACTTATAGCCTAAAATATGGTATATCTTGCTGAATGTTTCATATACACTTAAATGTATATTCTGCTTTTCTTAGATGGATGTTTTATAAATTTTATTTATGTCAGGTGGTTTTTAATGCCATTTAGGTCTTCTCTATCCATTCTGTTTTTTTGTCTACTGATTGTATCAGTTACTAAAAGACCAGTGTTTCAGTCTCCATAATAATTGTAAATTTGCCTATTTCTCTATCCTGTTTTGTAAGATAATATTTAATGTGTATTAAAACTCTAATGTGGGATTCATATAGGTTTAGAATTGTTTTATCTTCTTGACTGATTGACAGTTATATCATTATAAAATTTATCCATCACTAGAAATATTACATAGTTTAAAGTCTATACGATCTGAATTTAGTCATTCTAGCTTTCTTATGATCACTATTTGCATGGTAAATGTTTTTAAATTATTTAAATTTAACCATTGTGTGCTGTAAGTTTTTAGAGTTAGTTTTTATAGGCAGACTTTTGTGCCATCTGATAATTGTTACATTTTAATTGGAAATTTAAGTGCATTTATTTTTAATGTAAGAGCTTATATGGTTGCATTTAAGTCTACATTATTGCTATTTGCTTTCTTTTAAATTCATTATTTATCCTGTTGCTTTCCTTTCTTCTTGCCTCCTTTTTTGATTAACTGGGTATGTTTTAGGAATTTATTTTATCTCTGCTATTGGCATATTAATTATAATTCTCTTTTATTTTCTAAGTGATTGCTTTGGGATTGATTGGCAGCATGAATATTTTTTTCTGGATATAAAATTATAAATTGGTAGATTTTTGGAAAGCCAAGACCTTGAGTATGTTGTTCATATTAATTTAGTTTCTGGTAAGAAGTATATTGTTATATTTATCTTTATTCCACCTTATGTAATATGTCTTTTTTTTCTGGCTACTTGTAAGATTTTCTCTTTATCATTGCTTTTCAGTAATTTAATTGTAATGTGCCTCTAACTCTGTATGTGTGTGTTTCCCTTGATTGCACTTTATTAAGGTTTCTATCTTTGAGTTCATAGCGTTCATCATATTGGGAAAACTTGGAAACATTATTTCTCAAATAGTTATTATATCGTTTTGTGTCTCTCTTCACCTTCTGGGGCTCCAATATGACAGATAGTTTAATGTTATTCTACAAATTTCTGAGATTCTTTTTCTTTTTGTTTTTAACTGTTCTATATTTTGTTACATTTCTATTGTTATACCATCAAGTTCACTGATTTTCTTTTTTCTTTTTGATACAGGCTCTCACTCTGTGGCCCAGGCTGGAATGCAGTGGCACAATCTCAACTCACTGCAAACTCCTTGCAGGCCCAGGTGATTCTTTCATCTCAACCTCCTGAGTAGCTGAGACTACAGGTACACACCACCATGCCCGGCTAGTTTTTGTATTGTTTTAGCAGAAATGGGATTTCACTATGTTGCCCAGGCTGTTCTCAGGCTCCTGGGCTCAAGGATTCCTCTCAACTTAGCCTCTCAAAGTGCTGGGATTACAGGCGTAAGCCACCACACCTGGCCAATTTTTCTTTTATAATGTCTGTTTTGGTTTTCATTCCATCAGTGAAATTTTTGTGCAAATATTTTTCAAGTTTAAAAGTATATTTTGGTTCTTTTGAATATTTCATGTTTGTCCTTACTGTGTTCATATTTTTATTTAATTATTTGTCTTAGTTAATTTTGAGAAAAGATAATCAGCTGGATGTGGTGGCTCATGTGTGTAATTGTAGTATTTTGGGGGGATGAGGCAGGAGGATCACTTGAGGCCAGGAGTTCAAGACCAGCCTTGGCAGCATAATGGGAACCCCCATCTCATTAAAGAGAGAGAGAGAGAGAGAGAGAGAGAGAACTAGATAATTTATAAAGAAAATTTTTTTTTAAAATAATTCTGGAGCCTGGGAAGCTCAGGGTCAAGGGGTTGCCTTTAGTGAGAAACTTCTTGCTGATGGAGAATCTCCGCAAAGTCCCCAAGTAGTGCAAGGCATCACATGGTGAAGGAACTGAGTGTGCTAGCTCAGATATCTCTTTCTTCTTTTATAACACCACTAATACCCCATACTTATGAGCTCATAGTCTAATCCTAAATATCTCCCAAAAGTTCCACCTCACAAATACCATAGCCAAATTTCCCACCTTCTTAATGCTGTTACAATAGGGATTAGGTTTCAACATGAGTTTCAGAGGGGACAAACATTCACATCATAACATTTCACCCCATCCCCTGAAACTCATGTCTCTTACCCACACAGATACATTCATTCCATCACTATTGCCCCAAAGTCTTAACTTGTTCCTACACTAATTTAAAAGTACAAAGTCTCATTTGTGATCTGTGAAAACAAGTTATCTGCTTCTAAAATGCAGTGGTGGGAGAGGCATAGATTACACATTTCCATTCCAAAAGAAAGAAAAGTGAAAGAAGAAAGGAGTAACACGTCCCAAGCAATTCCATACTCCAACAGAGTGAACAACACAAAATCTCAAGGCTTCACAATAATCTTCCTCACATGTTCCACTTCCTAGATACACTAGTTCACTGCCCGATATGCATTGTTGAATTCCTTAATGTTACTCCACAAGTCACTGAGGTTCTTTTCTTTTTTTAGTATTTTTACTTGGAAATGTACTTTGCCAAGTTCATATTGTTATACCCTTGTGTTTACTGCTTTTCTTTTCCATGGTATCACCCATGCTTTTCATTCTATCACTGAAATTTTCATGTATATATACTTAAAATGTAGACATTTAATTTGGTTCTTTTTTAACTTTTATGTTTCTCCTTATTGTGTTCATGTTTTCCTTTGACTGTTTAAATATATAGCTATAATTGCTGTTTTAAAGTTCCTGTCTCCTAATCACATCATCTTTGACCTTCCTTCCTTTCTTTCCTTTCTTTCTCTCTTTCCTTCCTTCCTTCATTTTCTTTCTTTCATTCTTT